AGGGATGTGAAATACAGGCAGAGGGTCATTACATTTTCAGTGGAGCTAACAGGAGTGGTACTAGAGAAAATGGTCCAGGCCTGCCTAGCAAGTCAAGCTCTTAAAGAACAGGGACACACACACCTAGTTTTAAATTGCATGAAAAAGTAGTCATAATACAAGCACCAAGCTAGCTGTGCCAAGACATTGTGCTACTTTTGAGGACTTTTTTTTTTTTGTCAGACTCCATAAGTATGTAGACACCTGCCCAACTGATAAAATGTCCTTAGACATACCTTTTTAGTGCTCTCTTAAACTTAGACATCCATCTTCTGTCTATTTTAAGGCATTTAGTTCTTTCTCAGTGCCTAACTCTCTTGATGCTCAGAACACAAATTTTAATTCCAGCTGCCTGTGATAGAGATGAGAAGCTGCAAAAACATCTCCTGAGTTGAGAGGAATACAAACAAGGCAGGATAGGGGGACAGAGCATTAAGACTGAAACACAATCTATTAGTGGGCTGATGTATTTGAAGAGCTCTTGGGAGTTCTCTGTTACCATTCTACCACAAAGTTAGGCAGAATTGTGGGCTGATTTCACTGCATTTCATGTCATTTATTCCCTTTCTGGATGTTGCTTAAGCAGAAATTACTTATACTTTTGAATGTGAAGTTTCATCAAATGTCAGTATATTTATAAGAATGTTCAGGACATCCTAAAGCATATTTATGCCTTACTTGACCTTTTGGACAAGTTGTGCTGTCATGGTATGATTATGATTTTCTCGAATAAGTGGTATTATGTTATCAGACCAGTTCTGGATAATGGAAAACATAGTTGTGTATTTGTTTGGGGACAGGCAGTTACATGCACACCAAAACCAATTATCATGATGCAGCAAGGACCAGCTGCTCCATAAGGGATGAGGAACCAAGAGACAAAGTGGTCCCTGGGCCAGCAAGGCGGGGACCTCGCTAGCCAGGACTTAACCCAACAGGGCAGGGCAGGTGGGGGGTGGCAGGCAGGGGCAGCCCGGAATCCAGGTTGACAAATGTGCCATGGTGACAAGGCAGGCCTGAGGTTGAGCCAGGAAAGAGAGTTAGCAGGTTCACTGACACTAATCAAGTCAGATGCAGCCCAGTGACAGCTGGGCAGGTCTGTAGGGCTGGGGCCAAGCTGAGGTCAGGCTGTGACATCAGGCTGCAAGTCAAGTACCAGATCAGTGGGTCCATGGCCAAGCACAAGCATGACAGTGTCTCCTTGGTTTTGGCTGGGATAGAGCTAATTTTCTTTTCATTAGCTAGAATAGTGCTGTGTTTTCAATACAGTATGGGATTTGGTATGAGAAGAATGTTGATAATCCCGCCTCTTCTGGGACTGCAGTTTCAGAATCTCTCTCTTGCTCTGGGATCGCTAGCCGGGAAGGAGATGGGCCTTGGTTGGTGGGTGCTGAGAAATTGCATTTTGCGTCACTTATTTGTATATTCTATCATTACTATTATTGTTTTAGTTAATGTAATCATTATTATTTCATTTTATTTAAATTATTAAACTCTTTTAACAACTGGAAAATCTCCTAACAATAGCTAATTTGGATGATTGTAGTGATAGTTATGGAATGTTAGAAGTTTAGTGTCAGATTTCAGATTTTTTTAACTGGCATGTTAAGGTGATTTCTTTTTTTTATATATATATATTTTTTTAAGAATGACACATACCTTGTTACAATGTGTGTATGTCATGTTTTTGTCTTCAAATTCAGCCTCTTTTGAGATCTATTTTGTACAAAAAAACAGGATAAAAATCAAAATGTTTTACAATGTGTTTCATTTAAACCAGTTTAAGAAAATGCTTAACAAATCATTGAAACTGACTGGAATCTTCTATGAGTCTAAATTTTGTCTTCTAGTTCCTGATTCTGCACCAGAAAACATAACCTATAGGAACATCTCATCCATGGAAATTGAGTTGTCATTTTTTCCACCATCCATTCCCAATGGAATCATACAGACCTACACAATATATCTCAAGACTAATGTAACCGAGCAAAGAGTTATAAACACTACTCTTCTGACGCTACGTATTACAGGCCAGTATATAATGATCTGGAACTTACAGCAACTGTAAATTGTTCTGAGAAGGGATCAGCAGACTGATGCAGATCAATAATTACCCATTGGTTGGATGTGATCCTTCTTGTTCTTACATAAAGTTACATGCTGCCTGTCCTGAGAAGTAGCCTGTTGTGTCCTGCAGTAATGTGGTAGAATGGGCTATGATCAGTATAGAGTCTAACATATATCTCATTGTGTTTTAGATGTTTAAAGTGCAAGGAACTTCAATAGATTTCTTTGCATATCTATCTTCTATCACCTAGATATCTTTCTGATCTTATTTTGGATAAAAATAAGTGCTTCCTTTTCCATTCACCTTTGCATCTTTTTCTATGTTCTGTCATTATTACTAAGGCATGACACAGCAGTTAATGCTGGGAGCTCAGTACCTTAATCAGTAAATTTTCAAAGTACAGCCAAGGGCAAACTGTAAAGCATTCTATGAATGTGAAATATAAATTAGGGCTTTACCCCTTCTTTTTTTCATGAAGAATACTTTGTGTTCAAATATTCCTGATAATTATTTCAGTCTGTAAAGACACAAATCAGTATGAATGATGAGCCTATTCAGCACTTCAAAACTACTTATGGTCCATTAAAAATCCTAATTTGGCCCACTGAATGGTTGATTTACTGAATTCTTCTTCTGTATTTAGATTTAAAGAAATACACAAAATATACTGTAGAAGTGTCTGCTAGTACCACAATGGGGGAGGGCCTTCGTAGTGCACCTCTGCATATACTGACTGATGAAGACGGTAAGTCAGATGTATTGTTGTCTGCCTGTGGTCTTAAACTAATCTTACACTTCATGTCAGATATGTGTAGGTTTTATATACTTTTTTTGCAATTATATCTCTGTATTTATATCCATATCTATCTACACACAAACATACACATCTATCTATCTGTTATTTAGTATATTTATCAGTAAAAGCTGTGTGAAATGGCACAATTGTGTGTGGACACTTGGTCTTACCAATATCTTCTGAATTTGAAGAATCTTAATTTATTAATAATATTTTAATCTAATACACCACATGGTAGAATTAAATATTGTGTTTGGTTCTGCAGACATGTGAGAGCTGGAGAAAGGGAAGACAACCAAAAGGCAACTTTGATGGTCCAGGGACATTTCATGTTGTTTGAAGATTTTTTTATTCTTCTAAACAGATGCATGTACAGATACACATATATAGATGTAAAATTATAAATATTATGAAAATGTTCAAAGTCTATAATCTGTACTACTGGATTTCCAAACTGAGTAGGGGAGAGTTCTGCATTGCTGGCTGAGAGTAGAACACAGTCACTGCATCCTCTGCTAATTAGTATAGTAGGTCACAAATCAGCAGGGGAACTTGAAAATTATATTTGTACCCTATTTAGTTGTACGAAGTTATCATTGGTCCCCTCTATAGTTTCTGGAGGGGCAATCCTGAAAAAAATTCAAAGCAGAATCTTAACTTAGGTGCTGTAAATCACATATTGGAAGAACCTGTGTCTGTCCCTCTTCATTGCTTAGGGAGGAAGTCTCCGGGAACCTAGATGAAAGCAGCATTGACACAAACAGCACACCAGCCATTCCCAAATTAAGTCTCCTTGCATGTCTTAGGGAACACTGACTTGCCTAAGATCCAGCTTTTCATGATAATGGATTTTTGCAAATCTCCAAGATGTTGATAGGCTTACATTCACACTGTCAGTAATAAAGCTTTGCTCAAGAGTAATATTGCTGGAGCAGACTGGGAACAGCTAATTTGTATAAATCCATCTTTTGCATAGAGTATTTTTATTTAGAGCAATGTAGATTCTATTCTTCAGCAAAAAATATCCTCTGAATAAGAACTGTAGGGTGAACTAGACATGCCAGAAAGACATTAAACTCACAGTATGACAGATATTTTGTTATATAGCCATTGGGGATAATATAACAAGTAAAACAGTAAATACAGCTGTCACCTTTTTTCGCTAGTAAATACAGACATTCATTGAATTCAGTGAACCTCTGTTCTTGAAAAATATTTTTTCTTACATGCACAGAGATCTAAAACCTTTATGTCAACTCGAGATAGTGAAAGAAGGAACAACAACTGAAAACCAACAATATTTATAACATACCGCATGTTCTTTATTCACAGGAACACAGTGTTCCAAGGTTCAGACCAAATGTTTCGTAGATTTGCTAATAGCTATGCTCATATTCTCAATTTTCATGCATGACTACAGCTATGACCTGAATTTTTAGTGCATGATGCTCTTCAGCTTAATTTGAGAAAAACAAAAGTAATTCTAATATTGCTTCATAGTGCTACATATATCTGTGAATCAAGATGAAGAAAAACATTTACTTCTCAATCACATGCTAGTACAAAGCACTATCACTTATGCATACATGAGTATATTTTTACTCAATGACATTTATATAAACTAGAATGAAATCAAACATGGTCTAACATTTTCATTTACTTAAGTTGTTTCCCTATCCTACAGAGTTGTGATATGGTGTCATGTAGAGTTCATCTTAAAATGAATTTTAAGGGTCTCAGTCAATGCCTATCTTTGTATTTGCCCTCGTGACATGTTAAATGTATGAATGTGATCCTTATTTGATGGAGTGAATAGATTTTACTGCTGCCTAGTATCCCACATTTTTATCATCTCTCAATGCCATGCTTAGCCTTTTTTCCACCTTTTGGTGCTTTGTATAATTCTTTACAGCACCTCTTTTTCCCCAAGGGAACTATTTTGCTATATTTTACATGTGTTCATACCTATAAAGCTCTTGATTTTATTAGAAGAGAAAAAAAATTACAGCAATGTACTTGGACAGTAGGTGAATCACTGTGACCTACCCATTACTCTGTTTTCTCATGAAGTACTTTTTCCATTGAATCACAGAAACAGATGTTCTAACACCACCATGCAAAATCTTCTTTTATCGTCTGTCAGAAAAAGAAACTGCACCTTAACATTAGTTGATGGATACTGTACTGGTGTAGTACAAAGTTCATTTTCCATCACAAATAATTAAAACCCTGTTTAAGGATGCTGCATGTCCCATCCATCTTAGCTGTTTAACAAGATGTTGTGTCCTGCTCTCTCATTTTATAGCTCCAAGTTCTCCTCCAGAATCCCTCTCCGTAAAACAGTTGTCGGGTGTCACTGTGAAGTTGTCATGGAAACCCCCGCTGGAGCCAAATGGAATTATCCTCTATTACACAGTTTACGTCTGGTAAGATTTTCTGGAAGTAGTTCTGAGGATAAATATTAATCTGTAACCTATCAGGAATGTTAGGTTTTTCTTACACAATGTGTTGATTACACATTTTTGGAGAACAAATATTCATCCAGAACTTAAAATACTAACCTTTTGTATATACAAATTCAGATATAATGTAATAGCTGAAAAGTAGGGTATTAAATATTTCTTAAGCATTTTCAACATCTTTCTAGAGGTTACATTATGGTAAATGAATTCAAATTTAAATTAGAGCATGCTGACTATTTTCATTACATTCTCATTAGACCTATGGTAAAGCAGGGCACAAGCCTATGCCAAATTGTCAAGGAGATTTGAAATAGACTTGAAATAGTCTTAAAATATAGAAATATTGCTTCCTTTTGTAAAAAGTACATAAGAGCAATGTTGAGAGTCCTTGTATGTGCTATCATTTATGTCTACTGTTACATTTTGTATTTATTATATTCATAGCAAACAAGTATTTTTGAACAGGTATTTTTCATTTACTGTGTTGTTTTTGTTTGTTTTTTTTATCTATCCTTTCTGTTTCTCTATTACTTTTTTTTTTCTGTCATCCCTCCTGGGATCTTTTTTCACTTTTAAAAAAAAGTTTTTGTCACTTTAAAACTTGCAGCTTCTGTCCTATTCTCTACATAACATAGTTTGGTCTAGTGATGTGGTGTCTGTTCAAAGATCTATGTATAACTTCTACTGGAAGTGAAAAGATTTTATTATTGATCACTTTTAATACACTGCATTTATACCGTACCATTTTATTGACACTACTAAGGTGCAGGAAGCAAGTGCTAACTCACACCTTATGACATGTGAACCAGATGTGCAAATCAGCATTTGTTGTAAATAGACTACTATTGAGCTTACATTTAATATTACTTAACAGTTTTGGGGTAGGACTTGGCCTTAGTTCCTATTGAATTTTTTTAATTTAGAACTTCTAGTTAGGTTGATGATAAAGTGACCAGGAGTGAGGTTTTTTTTTTCTTTCCAAAAAAGTTATATTTGGCTTGTCTTGCTGCTTTTACTGTACTGGCAAGGTCTGATGCGTTTTAACCACAAAAAAACCCATTAAATTAAAGACTATCCTCTAGCTAGGAAAGAGTTACTTCATTATAAGGATTATGATTTTGATACAGGCTGTGTTCAAAGACTTGAGGTTATACAAATTTTCATCCTTATATTGTCTTACAGCTTACTGCTTTTGTTATTTTGACAAAGGAGTTCGTAACTATTTTTAGAAAATCGATCCATCTTTCTAAATATTTTTGCAGTAAGCCTTGTCATTTTTCCTTCCATATTCTCCTTGCTCTGTCTCATCTGTCCTTACTGTGGCATATCTAAAATTAGAGAGGCATTAGGTGTCATCTTGAGGCAAGAACATTGGAGAAAAACTCCTGTTTCCTTCAAAGGGGCTACAACTTCACTCCTTCCTTGGAAGCTTTTTTCTTTAGGGGGGTAGGGGTGAAGGAGGAGAAGTATTTAACAGAATTGTCTCTACAGTTTCATAAAATGCATTGCAGGGTGATTTTTGACAAGGCAAACTGCTGTGCCATAGTTGCTACTTTTGTGAGGCATTCAATATATTTTCAGTGAGATTGTTAATCCCAGAGCTTCTCAATAAAACAGAAAGAGGAAGGTTAATACAGATGTTAAATAAATTTTCCTTCTCTTAAATATATCACAATAGTTATAGAGAGTTTGGTAATCTTTTGCTTTAATGGATTGGGAACAAGAATGCACAACTAGTAGAATACAAAGGGTAATGTCTGTAATGTTTTCATTGTTATTATTTTTAATTTAATTTGAACAGGACAAGGTGGGTTTAGGTACTAGCAGGTAGCAAAGCAACTTCCTGTGTGCCTTGAGTCTACAAACTCATACTCCCTGAGTCTGAAGTCCTAGAGTATTAAAGGCATATCAACAAAATTACTGAACTTGTAGATAGATATTGTCTTTTGGCATTATCCTGTTCAGCAAATTTTCGTGAGACAACTACTGACTAGATCTACTTTGAGGAACAGATTTTTAAGAAAATAAGGTACCTGTCTTTGTCAAGTGAAAGTATGCAGTTTCTTAGAATGTCTTTTGTCTAGGTTTCTGAAAGATCTAATTTAAAACTTAATGTTCTTTTTCTTCATTAAAATTCCTTGGCTTAGCTTATTCTGCTAGGTGCTTTCTCATTGTGAAGACTGCATTCACTTTGATCGGTGTTTTCTTACTATTTTGATTGCAATCTCAGTTGTTTCTAAACTGAAAAATAAACTTTTCTTGAAACACTCCAAACTTTTGTTCTTCTTCCTAACTATGCCTGATTGTGCCTAATTAGCCCTCACTAATATACTGGACATGATGTGATATTATATGGAAAATCCCATTGGCATATCCAAATGCCAATGTAGCTTATTAATTTAAATATTCCTCAGCTCCTTAGGTCTTGTGCTTGTGGACTAACAGAACACGTAGCCCTTCACTTCCAGTGACAAAAATGCAAACACTGATATGTTGTCAGTGTCTCTCTCATAACAAATCCCAGGCTGAAAGCAAAATACAACACTATTCTAACTACTAAAAAGAAACCAGCTCTGTTCCACCTAAAACCCAAGACATTGAGTTTATTTCTATGGGAACAAGCAGTATGTCTGCAGACTTGCAGCAGCCTTTAGGGCATTAAAAATTTTCTGGCAAACAAGATATTATAAGAATGTAATTACTCAGAGTAGAAGTGTTTAAAGCACTAAGCTTTGGATTTTCTTCTTACTTAAAATTATAACCAGGTACATTTTTCCATACTAAGTATATATTAGGCAAAGATCCCAGAAAAGATGTATTTTCTTTGTATGGAGTTTAGTAACTGCAGCTGCAACCTTTTGTATCTCTTTACTGACTATTTAAAATGTGAAAAGTTTGGGAAAAATGTAACTGTTGTTAACTTTCTCTGTTACCGAGAGTTTCCCACATTAAGAGACATTCCACTTAAAATCTGAAAGGTACAGGGATAATTTAGTTTTTTCATTCTCATACATTTTCTCATTCCAATTGTTTGTTAATATAACTTTATTTCAGGAGTATCAGATGGTGATCTTTGCTAATAGGACATTATTTATCAAATGATGAAAATCAGGCTATCTAACAATTT